TTAATTTAAACTACCATCACCCGTCTGCCTTATATAAAGTTTCGATGGAAGGTCAAAATCTAAAACCTCAAAGAGAAGAGGATATAGCGATCATGTTGAACAATCGCACTGGTTTTTGAGCCTGTTTTATAGGCTTAATGAGTTAGGCAGGCGGAACAAAATTATAATTGGTTTATTGGGTAATGAGCGTTTTAACGTGATAGCGGGCACCAACACACTCTTTATGTGGACAGATCCATTCTGTGGAATTGGATCACAGATGATCCAGGATGAACTCAGCAAGAAGATGGGAGGAGCGAGTTTTGAATTATGGAGAGTCCCCCTGGGCTGAGGCAGGCTAAAGAGCTTTTGGAGAAATATTGCCAGAATCGATATAGGGAACTGATACGAATAGGTAAGAATCAGGTAAAAATGCTGTAGAGTTTTCTAACGACACACTGCCGGGTCATATTAGGAGGTTGGGCATGGGACGCAAAATAACTTGCAGGTTCTGTTGGGAAAACGGAGGAGATCATGATGCACTTTCTTGATGAGTGTGGAGCGTTGTTCGACAGCAAAAGGGATTCTTTTGCGGGTTGCATTCAATTGATCTTGACATTTCTTTTCAAATTTTTTGAGTAAGAAGGAATAACTTGCCAAGTATCTCATTTTCGTTGAATTTGTAAATTGACTGAAAAATAGTTAAAGCATAATTCAAGCAAAAATTGTATTTGTGCTTTTCGTTTTAAAGGGAAAAAAGATTGGAGTTAAAAAAATTTTATTCAGTTTTTTGTCTTGGGGTTTTGTGAACGAGCGGAAGAATAATTGCAAGCAGTCTGAAATTATTTTGCAAGTTTCTCTTCAATTTTCTTTCTAAATTGTTTAATTAGAAGGAAATTGAATTTATTTAAAATTTGCAATATAAATTTCAAATAATATAATTGGTCAGAAAATCTTGTTATTGTTCGAAATATTTTAGAATTTTAAAAATTTTTCACAAAAAATTCGATTCAATCATTTTGCAATTTTGAACTTTTAAAATTAAATTTTTTGGACACATCAGTTTAACTTCATTTACTCTTACTTATTTATTTCTTACACAATATGTAAGAACATGAAATATCAAGTCAACAAAATACTTCTTAAAGAATTTGTTCAATTCTTCTACATATTTAAATATTTAAATGAAATCTGTCTGCATCATATTGAGAAATTTTTACATACATCTTTCAATACAAGTATATATTTAAAATTCTAGTTGTTATTTACAGAATGTAATCTCATAATATCCTTTTGAGTTATTTTATTCTCTATATACATTTCATTTTCTTTTATGAATATTATAAGAAAATTCTATACATGATTCTGTATCCTGATATTGATTAAACAATTAGTTTTTCTGACAAAAATCAAAATCATGTTCAATTTAAAACATACAAATTTATAGTTTAGAAGTGACCACCCATTTCAAATCATTGAATCTTTATATATTAAAGTCAACTACATACTTTGTCTGATGGATATGTTTAGTATGCATTTGGACATATTATTTTACAAAGAGAAAAAATGTTATTAAACTTTACAAACCATTTGAAATGTAATTTCTGGCTGGGATTTTATTGCTTTAAGTATTCATTAGACATACGAATTGGCATAGAACTTTGAATATGATTGAAATGAATGTATTGTTGATAAAATAATTCCATATGGGATAAAATTAGAAAATACTTCCATAGAGTCGAAATATTGCTGTCATATCAAAAAAGAAAAAAACGAAACATGAATCAAATGCTTCACTCAAATCACATATTAAATTTTTAATAAAACATGCATTTAAGAAAAAAATTGTAGTCATTGTATGTGATTGAAGATTAAGGATAAAAATGTGTGTGTAAGGATAAAAGTAGAAACAAATTTCATTTTATACGTTTTCTAAATGACATTAATTTTTGCAAAATTTTTTAATATTTCAAAAAAAATTTTTTAGAAAATGCCATTTTTTTGAATATTTCTAGTATCCTTTTTTTAAGATCTTGTGATTTATGAAAAAGTTTGGGTATAACAATGAGTGATTTTTTAAGAATTTACTTTTAAAAAAAATTGCACCCGCAAAAGTTGCAAATTTTGTTTCAATTCGGTTCGAACTCAATCGTTGCCAGCTACTTTTCCAAACAAATTGCATGTCAATGTTGGTTATAATTACATTTCGGGATCCAATCTATACAATCTATCCAAAGAATCAAATGCAAAGTCTCTTTTCCGTATATTCTGGCCGGAATATTCGAAATTCTACGGTAATATGATTTTCAAAGATGTGATCAATTCCACGTGATTGATTTAAAAAGATATTTTCTCTAATATTCCAAGAAAATGAGTCCGGCAAATTCGATGATCAATTCACAGGATACCAATGCAACTAATGGATCACAATATTACCTGTTAGTTGTATTTCCATGGAAAACTTTTAATAATTCTTGTATCTTAACTTGAAAATACTTTTAAAATTTTCATTTCCTTGAAATTTTCATAAATAATTTTTTGTTTTATTTTTCGTTTTATAAGTATAGGCTCACTTGTTCGCATATTTTGGTATCTAATTAGTCAAAATTGTCAAAAGAATTTTAATTTGCCAAAAGGTACTCATTCATATTTTCAATCTAATTAAAAAATTATTACAAAAAATATTTAACAATTATTTTAATTAAAAAAAAAGTTTTACTGCAATTTTAACACATAAATAAAAAAAATCTAAAAATTGTCAGAGAAAATTTTAAAAACTTTTCAAATAGAGGCAAAATTTGAAGTTGAAATGTGAATTTTTTTTTTCAAAGAACATTTTAGAAATTCTGTTATAAATTTACTGAAATGGAAAAGTACTTTAAAAAATTTAAAATTTTTGAACCATTTGAAATGATTAATTATTTTTATTTGGCTCAATTAAAGTTTCATAAAAATTATTGCGGTCTTTTAACTGATTATTATGAGAAAGGCCAGTCTTTAACATTTTGTCCGTCATATTTCTCCGATTTTAGTGCATAGAAATTATAAATCCTTGTAACAAAATAAAAATTTTCAACAGTATGCTTCAGTTTTTTTTAAATTTTGGATTCATTGAATTCGATTTTACGAACTAGAGCAAATTTATTTATAAAGTAATTAACTACAAATCTCACATAATTATAAACACGATTAAACTAATTTTCTAAGTTCAGCAGACTATTAAACTTAAATAAATGTTTCTAAGTTTTAAAAAATTGGCACAAAAATAATTTGGAAAGATCTCAATAAAAAACAAATTTTTACTTTGTTCGCTGCCAAAATTTTCAGATGGAATTGAAGTGAAAAATACAGGGCGAAATATGAGCTTTTGCTGAATCAACCGGAGATGAGATATATAAAAAAAGCTACGAACTATAAGTTTATAACTGCATAAATTTTGAGAATATTTTGAGGAGAATATCCTTCGAATTCTTATCGGAATACCAATATTTAAAACATCCCTCCGAACAAAAATTGTAGAGCTTTGTAAATTTTTGCCGTGTACATATTTTTAGAATCTTGTTATAAGTTAGTATCAAGGATCAGTGTTATTAGTTAGTATAGCGTATATTTGATTAATTTTATATTTTTCGGCGCTATAAACTACTTACATATTTTGACTTTTTTGTTACTTTTTACATTGATAGTAATTGAGCTGATAACTTTCAAGACAATTTGTCAAAAGTTAAAATTGTATGTGAATTTCAAAATGATTTTGGCAAATTTAAATTTCAAATTTGTTCCGTAATGTAAATGCAATACCCTACAAGCTATTCTAAAAAAGCAGTATTTAAAAAAAAATTAACAAAGACGATCTCAAACCTGATTTTTTACCATTTGAATGCGAGGGTCAATTTCGTTTCTTTTAACATACATATTTGCCAGAATGCTCATTTTTCAGCAATTCACTTTGCTCATTTGTCAGAAATATTAAATGAACTGCTGATTGTACATACTCATTCCCAATTAAAAATTAATACACTTTGTAATGATTCCTAGGAAATAGAGTTTCTATTTCTGAATAATCATCAGATTTATATCGAATTTAATTAGGATAATCAAATATTAAAATATCAAAATTATGTCAGCCTTAGGTAGCTCTGGATGAGTACGATTTTGAAATAATCACAAGTGTTTGAATGAAAAACTTTAATAGCTCTTTGAAAATGAATAGCATGGGTTATGCTCCGTATAATTGTTGCAAAAAATGGATTGCTCTCTTTATAAATAAAATTTTTTTTTTTAATTAAGATTTTTAATACAAAAAGAATTCTGTTTCACTCATGCATTTTAATCTTCTGTTAAATTTTTATTTAAAAAAAAAATGTTTTTTCTCTAAATTATCGGTCTCACTAACTGTGTTATTCTAGCATATCTTTTGTATGACATTTGCATGAAAACAAATTTATATTTCATTAAAATGGAGAAAAAAATTGGGTTAAGCAGTATATGAAAAAAATTTATTTAAGATTGCATGCTTTGAATAAATTAAAATTAGAATTTAGATGTAAAGATGTCCTTAGCAGGTCTGATGATAAAATCAAATTTAATAAATTTTCATTTTATCTTTTAAATCAGAATAAAAATTAAAATTGTCAGATTTTGTTGTTGACTTTTATTTCGTTTTTTCTAGTTTTGTTGTTATCCTTTCAGTCGCTATTGTTTTTAATGAATTTGTTTTTTTTTTGGTTTTAACAATTTTAAGCTTGAAAGGATTATAATTTTAATTTTTAAGAAAATAAATTCAACATTGAATATTTTTTTTTGTTAGAAAATTATAAAAAAATATTTAATTTAAAATTAAAATTTATAGTATAGCAGTTTTGGAAATTTGTTATAGCAGAAGATTACCATTAGCTTTTCCTTTAGTGTTAGTTTTTTGATGTAGAAAATAATTAACTAATAAAATTATTTGTTATTTTTTTGCTAAAATCTTAATAAAATAGCAAGTATTTTCTATTAAAATTAATTTTATTTTTCAGTTGGTATCTAGCAATCCGAATCAAAAGAATTGGCGTGGAATATGTATAGCAATATTAGTTATAACAATTGTATTGGCACTTATAGTAACATCAGTTGTAAGTATTGATTTTCAATTTTAATGAAAATAATAATTTTAACATAATATTTTAGTAAAATCATCCTTGCATAATTGGAGCACCATAAATGTTTATTATCATCGCCATTTTTAATGCTAATTAATTCAAATAAAGTTCTTCTTTTAAGTTCTTGTGTTTTAGATAACGCTTTATTCTGCTAATATTCTGCCTTAATATAAATCGAGGAATTCATATAAAATTTATGCTCAATTGAATTAAAAAACAAGAATTTCGTCTAGGTATTATGATTTTTATGGTAGACCGTGAACGAAGTAGATACATGCCTTTAACGCGAATATTTGGAAAATGAATTTAACGAAATCTGTGAATTATTCACAAAAACTGAACAAATTTTACAGATTACTAGGTGCTTATTGAAATCGAGAGATATAAACAAGTGTTCTATTAGAGATTTTAAAAAAATTTTCTCTTTTTAAAGTGTTTCGTATTGAATTATTGTCAGAACACGTTACCTCCAAAAATAATTACTAAAAAATATCTTTATAACCCCAAAATTTTTCAAAAAGGTTCCATTGTAAATGTATAAAAATTGAAATTTTAATTTTCAAAACAAAAAAAAAATTCACCCTAATAGTCTTCTTACTTTTAATGAGATTAATAAGATTAACCCACAATAACAAAAAAAAAGCATAATCTTAATCTCAAATAGATTATGAACCATTTTACGATTTAATTCAAATATTACCAGTACCTATACACATAATACAATAAAAAATAAAAATAATTTTAACAAGAATTGAAGAAATAATCCTTAAGTATTTTAATTTCAAATATTTATAAAGGATTCTGTTTTTATTTCTCTTGTTTGTACCAAAGCACAATATTGAATTTTTTCCATTAAATTTCAATAATTCTGAAATTTTTGTTCATTTCGAATTTATAAGAGAATTGCAGAGAGTTCTTTGTTGTTGAAGAATATATGGCTTCGGAAATCTATACACAATTTTTTTAAGAAAAAAATTTCCCATTTTCCTATTTTCACTTTTATTTTATTTCACTTCTCATTCTTGAAACATTTTCCATTTAATTCTTTAATACTTTTTCTATTCGTTGAATCTTTTCAGTATAGATCCTTAATTAAGTACATATTTTATCAATTAAGCTAATTTTGTGAAATATTTTCCAAATCATTATATAATAAAGTTGATGAAATGAGAAAATTATTCTTAGAATAAATAAATGAAATATTTTTTTTTTTTTTGTTGTGCTTGAGATTAGATTCGGAAATTCCTATCAGTCGAATTATCCTATTTATTAATGTACGCACATTTAGAGAATTTTCATCTTTCTATTTTTCTTCTTTTCATTTTATTTTCTATAAATATCATAGATTTTATTTTTCTATATTTAGTAGTTATATAAATTTCTAAATTCAACTTGATTTTATTTGGAATTTTATAGTAATAAAATTTTATAATCTCATATACATTTTCTTTTATATACTCAATTATTTTTGAAAGACACTCTTACACTTATGTATTATATTGTGTAGGTAGTTACTAAAAATCTTTCCAAATAATATACTGAATATTTTATTTTAAATAATAAATCTTTTTTAGATCCTAATATGAACATTATATTAAATATTTAATCCTTGAAGAAATATATTTAAGAATAAGAATTAAATGAATTTATATACATAAATTTTTGGGTATTATTTTGATATTAATTGATTATAAAGAAAATAATATATCGAATTAAATTTGTCCTTTCATTGTATATTTATATACTTAATAATGAACAATATAAAATGTCCATTTTATAGTTTTTCTCAAAAAATTTCTTAAGGTTTATTATTTATGTATGAAATAAATTTATTATTAATATATGTATTTTGAAAATAGTTAAAGAAATAATGTGATTAATATAGGAAGATATAAATAGAAGTTATAATTTAACACGTTGGATCGAATTTTGGGCTATTCCAATCACAGAATTCCATTCTCAGTCGAAAAGAATGACAAATACAGTGCCAATATAAACACAATTAAGGTTAAATCCCTTTCAAAGTTATGTGAAATCCTTCAACAATGAGTTCAAATGTCGGAGAATCTTGTGCGAACCCAATAGTGGTTATCATTATTATGAATAATAATCACTATTGGGTTCGCATAAGATTCAAAAATCATAGGCTTTTCGGTGATAACTAACCTATATATTAGTTTTACACTTCACGTCGAATTCAATTTGAATTCACGTCGAATATGTTACCCAAATAATATAGACTTTATTAAAACTTTATTTTTTTTTAATTGTATGTATAATATATTAGAACTTTGAAATATTTTTCAAGTGTTGCTTTAAATATGTAAGACAACAAGATGATAATTAAAACTAAAATTACAATTTTTTTTAAAAAATCCACCAAAACTCAATAATACAGAGAAATACTCTTAAACAGCTAACGAAAATTTGAATTCTTAAAAAATTAATTGAATTTCAATAAAATATTGCATATTTTTAGGGATACTAGTTTTTCTTCAATTAAAAAGTTTGGAAATTCTTTTTTTTCTATTTAAAAGATGTGTTTGTCTTAACATTATTTACTTAAACAATACAAAGATTAATAATGATTGCAGGATACTTTATTATTTTTGATTTAATTTGTAATATTCGTAATGTATTCATAATTATTTTTACTAAGAATAAAATAAAAAGTTTTATAAAAGAAACATAAAGTTTTTGAAATTAAAATATTTTATTATTAATATTTTTTTTTTCATTACTTTTCTACATATTATGTATAGGTATTACTTACCCCTCCTGATGAAGGACCAAGAGTTAAAGGACAACGTATTAAATTACAAGACGTCATTGATGGATTATATCTGCCTCAGCGATCAAATGGAACATGGATAAATGGTAAATTGACCGGAAATAAAATAAATAAATAAATAAAGAATAATAAAAAATACAAGATAAAAAGAAGTTGTACAATAAAATAAAATTTATTCTCAAAAAAGGAATAAATAAAAGTTAAAAATAAAAATAAAATTCTTTTAGAAAACAAAAGAAACTTATGCACACGTTCTCAAGTTTTTCACATCATTCTGTTAACAAGAACTTAATATTGTATTTTATATAGTGCAATCTGAAATCTAACACTTAGTAATTAAGTTAAGAAGTCCACATATTTATAATTGTTAGTTAACGATTATAAATATGTGGACTTCTTAACTTTGAATTATTTGCTTGGCTTATAATTAGAATTGTATTTCACAAAAATTTTCAATAAAATGAAGTGAGAATCACGATTACACATTGGACGTTTACTATAATTGCAGTGTTATAAAACAAATTTACAAAATTTCTGAAAGTTTCTTAACTTTGTTCTAATCTATTATTAAATTTTAAAACCATCAAATCAAAAATGATCTTCGTTTTAGATTTTATAACATTATACTTTGTACACGAAAATCTTCTTTCAATACTATTAGCATTCTGGAATCTAAAATAATAACGAAAACCCGCAAAAATAAATTGTTGTAAAATTTTTAAAAAATTATATTTAATAAATTATCAATTAAGTAACAAATTAAAAGTTGAAATCTTATCTTCCAAGTCAGTTTTTATACTCACTATTACCGGTATATGTTCTTTGACAGTTTGACACTATATAAATTTTATACTTATGTATATTAAAAATTTTTGATATTTCATTTGTGTAACAACAATTTCTTTCTGAATTATTGTTTTACTTCTAAAAGGTCATCAAAAGTCTTATTTTATACAACAAATTATGCGTTTATCTCATACAATATTGACATTAAGATAGAGGCTTATCTTTTTCCAAAATCTACCTTTTAAAAACTTAAATATAGAAATATGTCGTACTTAATTCGACTCTACATAAGCTAAAGGATTATATAAAATGTTTACATTATTCTTTGTTTATAAAGTTTTATTCATATAGACCAGTGATTCCCAAAGTGGTCTATATAGATCCTCATGGGTCCATGAAAACCTACTAGGGATCTACGAAGGTAAAAAAATTCATAAAATTCAAAGTCTATCAAATGAAAATGGGAATCTACGAAATGAAAAATAAATATGTGATAATATTGTATGAGATTGAATTTATTTTTTGTTTAGTTTTTCTCATATAAGAATTACTTTACTTTTATTTAAATCTAAATGAATTTAATTAAATAAGTTTTCACATCATATGCTACTATTAGAAATTTAAATATATCAAAGAAAGTAGCTGGGGGTCTATCAAAAATTTAAAAACACGACAAGGGGTCTACAAGAGAGAAAAAGTTTGGGAACCTCTGATATAGACGATGGTGTCATAAAACATAAATTAATTAACGAAGGCCGCCTACATCCCACAATTTCTCTTAAAAAAATTTCTCTTAAACAAATTTCTATTCCTCTAAATCTTTAAAGATAAAATTAAATTTACATGGAAATTTAAAATTTTATTTAAACACCAACAATTCTTTAAAAAAGTTTTAAATTTTAAATATGAAGTCAAAATCGACAAAAAATAGTATGTATATATAGATAGACAGGATTAATATCGAAGTTCTCATATATTTTCATAAAGATATTTTTAAAATTATCCTTGCGAATCTTGATTTCTTCTTTTATTTTTCAATAAACTTTTTTATTTAGAGAAAAGAGAATATCTAAATTTATCCTTAGCACAAAATAAAAATAATCTTTATTATTGTTCATTTTTTTATTCTATATATTTGAGATTACGTGAATTTTTTACACAAGAATAAAAATTTTCATTATATAAGTGTAATATTATATATACACACTTATATATTGTACATATAATATTATTTTCTATCTCTTTTTCCCATTTCTATCGTTATTAAATGGCCGTCTATTCTAATTTTTATTTATTTTGTTTTTCATTGTTTTTTTTTTCTCTTTTTTGTGTAATTTTAGCGGAAGAATTTTTATATCAAGATCAATGGGGTCAAATATGTCTATTGAATGTTGCGAATTCATCAGATCGTGTTCTGATGTCCAATATTACTTTTGTAAGTATTACAATAATAATAAAAAAAAAATAAAAAAAAAAAATAATGATTTGTATTTAACCGCTATTTATTAAGTCAACACGATTGTTACAATGTCAAAACAATAAAAACACACTCAATTTCTCTTTATATTGCAAATGTATACATTTATAATGGTATAAAATATCGTAAAATTAGAGAGGACAAACAATTTTATTGCCATATCATTGCATTCTTATATATTAGGAGTAGATTATTTTCATATTGTTTTGTTGTCATACTTTTATTTCAAGTTGTTTTAATTTTTTTTTTTGTTACTTTTGAACCGAAAATATTCAAAGGACATTATCTAGATTAAATTTCAATATTTTGTTTTTCTTTTTGTTTTTCATTTTCTTATTCCGTACAAATGAATTGGTTTGTGATTTTGAATATAAAAACATGTAGATGTTGTATACGAGTGGTTTGTATTGTTCTTTTAATAAAATTTTTTATCTTTGAAAAAGAGCTGAACAACAGAAAAAGTAAGAAAATGCTGGAAATGAAAAGAAAGTATTTTTTTTTTGTTCTAGAAAAATTAAGTTGTTCAAAGTGTCTGTTACAAGGATACTAGTATATTGTTGATTATAATATTGTGTTTATTAACTGCGTTTAGATTATTCTGATAGTGTGGACGATTCATCTGAAATGGACTTTATTAACAAACTAATGTAAATATCGAGATATAAGGTCAAAGGCTTTTTGAAAGAAGAAAAAAAAGAGAGGAAATAAAATGTTAAGATATTCGAAAGTATTTAGGTAAATTGAGAGTATGGCAAAATTTTAACATTTTTTTTTCATTTATAATAAGTCGAAATCTGTAATTCTCTCACGATATCGACAAAAAGAGAGTTTTTTCTTTTTTTTAATTGGTGTGAAAAGAAAACTTCCTTTTATTCGGAATAAAATACTTTTATTTTTCGCTAATATATTTCGTGCGCTACATACGCACTTTATCAAAGCTGATTTTCTTCTGAGAGTTTTTTCTATTAAAATATTTGAGAAAGAGAAATACTTATTGTAGAGAGAACATTTTACTTACGAAATCATTTTATAAAATGTAAAATTTCCATGCATTTCCAAAACATACAATTATGTTTGTTAAATGCAAAACACGGTTATTTCGCTGTGACTTTCAATACCTTTTGCTTTCATCTGGAATACAGTATAAATGTAAATTTCAGCAAGTTTTATGAAAACGGAAATCCATGTATAGTCAGACCCGGCTCTATAGTGTCTTACGCGGTTTTCTTAAGTTTGCGCTCCTATATAAAAAATAACGCATAACAAATTACTTTCGTATACCTTTATCATTCTGATTACAGGATTAGTCATAGAATTAAAGCCTAGAATCAAATTCAAAAAATTTAATTATTTTTTTTTTTTATTTTTCATCCCTGCTTTCCGACGCCCATTTCAAATGCACTATGTGTATTAATATGAATTTTCTTAGGAAAACCCACAAATATCCTACACGCTAGAATATTTGTGGGATGCATGTGCGTATAGAGATATAGATACGTATAGGATAGAATAAATGAATATTTTAATGTAATATTCTTCGAATTAATAATTTTTGTTTCCGGGACTAATTTTAGATAGTATGAATCTATCGGACATCTACTGCCGCGTTGATTAAAAACTTAAATAAAATTTTATATTTTCATTTGAGATTTGCTCAACATCCAGTTTAATTAGGTCAAAACCTAAATTTATAAAAAATTATAGTACGTTTTATTCTCCCATTTTTAATAAACCTGTTTTTCTTTCAATTTTTAAAATTTTTTTATTTATAATTTATGTAAATATAAATAAAAAAAAAAATAAATTCAAATATTCTTTGATTTCAATTCGAATAAAAAAAGTATTTTCTTTTTTTTTCTCCCAAGGCATTCACTTGAAATAAAAATAGAAATATATGAATTTCTGTATCTGAGTACTTTTCTTCTTCATACCTTCCAAATATATAAAAATAATTAAAAAAAGATACTGAAGGAAAAGAATTAAGAAAAAAAAACATAAAAAATAGTGTTCATCCTTTAAATTTCCGGTCACACTTTCTTGAACTTACAATATCCGCCTCTTTAAAAATTAAAGCATAAATTTTGTATTCCTAAGTTAATTTGTCTTTAGGGGATTCGCAGGACAATAAAAAAAAATATAAAGAATCACATTGAGCATTTCACCATTTTATGTACCTTTGTTTTGTGTGCCTTATGCAAAATGGAAAATTCAAAAATACACAAAGAAGAAATTTTTTTTTTTTTTACAATAAAAGGAAAATGGAGACGAGAGAACAAAAAAAAAAGTTTTTCTTTAGGCTTGGACACGCTTTTAATTTTCTTTTTCGATTTAATAAAAGAATGAAATAAAAGAACGCCACAGGAAATTATTTTAATTTTAAATATTCCTTTCGGGAATAAAACCAGAAAAGTCATTTTAAAACATTTTCTATTTCTGTGATTTATTTTTAAGTGTAGAGATAAAGCTTACTAAATTATGTATACAATATGTATTTATCAGACCGGAATGTTAAAAGTAAAATAATTATTATTTACATAAGCCCAATAATTATTGAAATATTTAATTTTATATAGAAATTGTGTGGACGTGATCTGCTTTCAATAAAAATTTTCTTTTTGCCTATTTTAATATTCCCAATAAATAATCACTCTAGTTTTTGCACCCCTTCAGAATAAAAACTGGAAATATATTTTAAATATGATATTACTTTCCATGAACTTAATTTTGATTCATTCCCGCAGTTGATTTCCAACTATGATTTCATAAGCATTAGTTAGGATGTTAAGCCTTTCATTATTCCATCACAAATTTTCAAAGAATTTTTTTTTTTTGGAACAAGGCAATTCTGAGTTTTCTCTTATTTTAATATAGTTTGTTGGTTTTGCCGAATATTTTATTTTATTAAAAAAAATTTTTTCGTCGTCTCCCTATCGACGAATTTTTTTACCCTGAAAATTTTTACCATTACCGTGACCATCAGCTCATCATTGAGCGTAGAATTACAGGTGGTCTGTCTTTGCCATCCGTCCCTCTTGAGGAATCTATCTAAATAACCGATACTAATCTTCGATATTTTGTCCAGTCTGGCCAGAGCTAAATACTGGCAGTGATAGTGAAAAATGGTCTCCCTCTTGCTCATTTCGCGGCATATATTAATGTAATTCACTTAAATTAATTAACAATATAATTCAATTTTGTGAGAATTGTTTTCTTTATTTAGATTAAATTAAACTATTTAACAGAAATGTGCTATTTTATAAACCATACGTTTTGTCGAACGCATTTTTGATGTTTCTGCTGTATTTTTTTCGAAAATTTGTAAGTGAAATGAATTTTTAATAATTGTATAACCTTAAAGTTGAAGTCAATTGCTTACAAAATACACTTTAGGTACCAACTTATTTGAAATTCTAAAATTTCCATGACAAAAATCTAAAAATTAACTGTAAAAGTTCTAAAATAGTGAATGATAATAATATTTATGCGTACAACGAAAACAGCATTAAACAATAGAAGTATAAAATAAAATCCTGCACAAGCGTACAATGTGACGACAATATTTTTAACATTTTAGGCTCCTTTTTGACTTCCTTTTTCTACAATTCCAATTTCCTCTGTTCTTTTATTCATAAGGAATCATTCGTTTTTCAAATCATTCAATATTTTTGCAATGATCAAGGATAAAAATAAATTTCCGGTTCAAATTTTTTCAACTGAATGCTTCTTTTAAATTTGTTTCTCATGCAAGTTAAACTTGATTTTCAATTTTTCGTCTAGTTTTCAATATTTGGATTTTGTGTTGAATTTTCTTTTTCACTATCATTGGTGACAAACGGTGAAGTTTTGCCTTTCATTTTTTTGTTTTAAATACTTTTGGTATTATTGAACAAATGCATAAAATTTAAAGAATTTTTAATTCGTGCAAAAAAAGTATTGCGTCGTTTTTTTTTTATTTTTTCCTTTTTCTTTATAAAGGAAATCTGTTTTCATACTCCAATGAATCGAAATTTCAATATTGTACTTCCTATGGCATATTTTTTTTCTTTAAAATTAATATTATTCAGCGTTTAAGTTGACAAATTTTTCATAACTGGTAGATGTGAAAATTATTGTAAAAGTTCCAAAAATAATTTGTTATGCAATACCTGGTGAATATTTTGCTGAGCAAAACTATAGTACTGGTGGAACACATAAAGCAAATTAAAATTCGAAGAAGAGATTCGAATTGACCATTGTAATTATTAATTTCATCTTCAGTTTTCAACTACTTCTAATATTACTACATTTAAACTCAATTTCAATATGGCGTAAGTGTAATTTTTTATTCCTACATTGTTGGTTCAAGCTTCACTCTGCAGGGAAAGTTTTACTGATACAGGAAAATTATTTAAGCAGCACTAATTTTTAAAATTGTAATAAATTAAATTGGTGAAAGCAAAAATTTTAAAAACGAGCCCAGACAAATTCTTTTTGTACCCACTTGAGTTTTTTTCCTATTCGTTTAATACAAACCTTGTTTATGAAATCTACTGAAATTAGGTAGAGTAGAGAATTTCAAAGTCAATTCGAAATGTTCAAGCAATTTTAAAATTTTGGCTAACAAATTTATCATGTCTATCTTATGGTGCAAACCTATTTTCGTTTTAGTAAACTTAAACTTGGAAAATTCAATCGTAGAATCGGAATCCAATAGGAAATTTTGAATAAAAGAACATTTCAAAAATATAAGCAGTTTGATTAAATTTTCTATTGCAACAATTCCAAACACTTGCAGAAATTCTAATAGAATGAGATTAGAAATTCATTGAACATAAAAACTAATTTTCCAACTCTAATATTCAATAGCCAACTTACTAACTTTTATACAAGATCTTTACAGCAAATCATTACATATATTTATATCTAAGGAACTAATTTCAATTTTCAAAAAAGACATTCGAAAAATTTTTATCATTCAAGCCCTGGAATCAATATAATCAGCTAATATACATGCATACATAATAAGTATGAAAACTTAATTTAGGCAACATTATAGTTGATTGAAATGTGTAAAAGAAACTGATTGAAATTTTAGAAGAAAAAAAATTTCTGTAATGTCTGCCACTCTTGAACTTATTCATTTAGAAGCTCAAATATCTTTGTGTTTTGGACAAAGATTGATGATTTCTATTCAATTATTATTATTTACGTTATTCTCTACAATAATTTTTTTATTTATTTACTGTTTTTGATTGATGTAAATGTCAGAATATTTATAGTTTAAGTAACAAAAATAATATTAACCCGACATGTTTTTGCTGCCAGTGTTTTTGGCAATTTATAATTTGTCACAACCAAAATGACAAAATAGAAAAAAAAATTGAGATTTTAATAATATGGAGAGTGGAATGGAGAGTTTGTTTTGAAATATGAAAGAATATTATGGATTTGTAAATGTGATTAGTTTTTATTTTCTCTTTACCTCACTCTCTGCCTCTCTCGCTTTCTATTGAATAATATAAGAATGTTTTTGCAAATATTTGAATAACAATAATGAGAAAATTAAGAAATAAATTTTTGACATTTTGATTTAGAAATAAACAATTATTTTATATTATGTGTGTACATCTGTAAATGATTTTCAAATATTCATTAGTTTCAAATGGAACATTGAAAAGGAAGGTCATTTAAAGGATATATTTACCAATTCTGCTTTAAAAAAGAAAAATATGTGGACTTTTTTCACAAATTCTCCACAAATTTTTAAATTTTTTTCTTTTTATTAAATTTTAACACACATATAACAAGAAAAACATGTAAACTTTTTTCAAAATTTAATTATTTTATTTGGAACAATTTCAAAAAAGTTTTCATTCCCATTAAACTAAAAAACAAAAAAATTGAGCACAAAACTTGAGTTTTGAAAATTTCCCACATGTCATCATTTTCTTCGATTTAATTAAATTTAGGTACAAAGTTTTCATTGACTCAATTTTGAAAATAAACTTTATAAACATTTTTATTTAAAGTTTAAAAAAGAGATTCAATGCACCGATAAGCTCGAATAAATTTAGTTGAACAAGCAAATTGTGTATATTGAGGGATGGTAGAGATAATCATTTATTTTGAAATTATAAAAATTTAAAATCAATACAAAAAAAAATCTGAAATATTTTAGCGAATTGAGTGTATCGAAATCTTGTCAAATAGAGCCAAAATTTATTGTCAAAAGTGAAATATTTTATTTCATTAAAAATATTGCAGAAGAATAACCAGCGGCCTCACTCTGAAATTTGATTTTCTTGAAACGATTTTCGTATTTGCAAAAATGGTAAGGTAGTACTATAAAAATTAATTGGTAATATCTCATCATTTTCTTCCGAAGACGAAAATCGTTTCATGAAAAGTGTTTTACACAGTAAGGTCCCAGGAGTGTAAATTTTGTAAATTTTTTTTCTTCTACTTCTAAAATTATTTCTTTTCAATTGAACAGAGGGTTATTAGCAGCAATACTACTGTTTATAATAATTCCTGTTTACATTTTTTCCTTTTCCATTCCTAGGAGGAGTATAGGGCTAGTGCATGACGTCATTTACTATATAATGCCCCAGTTTCATTGCGTCATAGAGTTTTAACTATAGGTAGGTGACTAGCGTGCCTAAATTTGTTAATGGTTAAACGGCTGATTTTAGATTTCACATTTCCAAATTGGGTAGAATACTGTACACATTTGCGGAAGTTCGGTAACAATATTTAATTGTGTCCGAATTCAAACAAGTATTCGTAAAAATAAATAATAAGTTGTTGAGTAAAATGACATTTTTTAGCAGAGATTTAGTTAAAATAATTAATTTACATAAGCAAAAAATCATATTTTTTTATGATTATTGCCTAAAAACAGTAAGTTCAGGATCTAAATGAAATTTCATATCAATTCGAATCCTCTTGGATAATTTGATAATTATTTCGACAGAACATCATTTTTATTATTTAATAATCTACACTTACTCATATATAAGTTTTAGACCTATAAACAATTTTTTAAAATGAAATGTGCTATTTTACAAAAACAAATGTGTTTTTAATCGACTACATTTTTCATTCAAGTGAACACTACATGAAATTGCAACAAGAATATTGTATTTAAAACAAATTTTTTACCTAATCCTTAATATTAATCCTGTAAAATTTGAATACATTAAATTAAGACATGTTGTACATTTGTAAAAATATTTTAAATTTTAATCATTTTTATTACATTTTTATATTTGCAGAAGGATTTATCGCCATATACATTTTCATTATCGCCTGACAAACGTTTTATATTGGTATCACAAAATGTCCAAAGGATATATCGACATTCATTTATAGCACAATATACAGTGTTTGACATTCAAACGAGGTAAGGTTTTTTTTAATATAAATTTTTCTATATAAAAATTTACACACAGTATTTTTAGTAATATTTTTATTGTACGTATATAGGGTATATGTGTGTCTTTTATATAATGTAATAATATATTATTAGTTTAACTAAAAATGTATAAAGGACCTGCATGTTTTTATAAACACAAGGACATATTTTTACCTGTTCAATGATGTGTTAATAAAATTACAAAGTAAAAAAACATGTTTTGAATTTAAACATCATGTCAATTTTTACTTTTTCTTTTTTTTCGTCCTTTTATTATTTTCATCATTTATTGTACAATTTAAAGTCATGTCCTTCATTTTGAATTGGTGTTAGTTATTGAAAATCTACAGCTATAAGTTTTTCTCTTTTATTTTTTGTTGTCTTTTTACAATTCATTAATTACACGATATGGGAATTTATTTTTACAAATTTAAAAGTTGATATTTTTATTTTGATAGTTTAATTGAAGGGAAATGAAATGTCAATTTTTTAAAACTTAAAATCATTTTAAATGCCATTAGAAAATTATTTAAATACGATGCTTACACATTTTATGTGAACTAGAATATTTCAAATTTTTTTAAGTGATCTCAAATTTTTTATTGAAATATACAATTTTATAGGACGAAAATTAATTCCTTAATTGAATGTATTGAGCATTTTCAGAATGGTAATTTCAATAAACGGCTTTTAACTAAAACAACAGAGGCTTTTAGGATTTTAAAGAGTTCTCAAAATTAATTTAATTTCCATACAAGAAATTCTTCTAAATTGTTAAGTTTGTTTTCAATAAGAAATTGTTTTCAATAAGATTTAAAATCAAAATAATTAAAAAAAATATATATAATTTTTATAAGAGTGTTTCTCAATTCATATTCATAACAAAAAATCAATCTGTTCTTATAGGGTTTGAAATTTAGAGAAGCCTCGAACCAATTGAACCGTTTAGTTATTACAACCAAACTTGTAGTATTCAAACTTGGTGAAAATTTTGTGCTTTTTGCGATATACAAATTCAAAAAAATTCCATATTTTTTTATAAGGAGGCCTACAATAGTAGATTAATTCCAGGTTCTAAAAAAAAATCTTTCAAGAAAATTTTGTTGAAAACATAGAAAAAAAAATTTTATTAAATTGAAATATAAAGTTCTAACTATATTATAACTGTCCTCCTAAAATTTAAGTGGAAGGCAGAAGGATTTTAGTAGTAAAAGTAAAAGTTCATGTAATTTTTACGTAGCCCGGTTAATGTGAGACACGTTATAGAGCTTCTTTGTAACACAATTCATATAGAATCTGGAATTTGTGTTTAAAAAAAATGCAAAAAATTGCAAATACATTTAAAACGTTTTATTAGCAGAACAATGAGAGCTAGAGAAAAATGTTATATAGGTTAACTTTTACCTCTAATTATAGCGCATCGAAAAGAATAAACCAAAAAAAATTATAACACAAATTTTCGAAAAATTTCGAATTTAAAAAACAAAGTCGAAAAAAAAGAAAATTCTTATTTTGACGCTTTATCTCGGAAAGAATAGATCAAATTAAATAAAACATAAGACCGAAAATACAGCGCAATCAATCAAGCCTGTAAAACAAGTCATCGATAGTTAATCTATGTCGCATGCAAAAAAAATCTTGTATGTTTTTAGAAAATATCAGATTACTTCCCCCCCCCCCCCTACACCCCCCTTATATAATTTTTCCTGGAATTTTTTATCTTCTTTGATAAAATTCTTTCATCCGAATTTCATTCTTCTGAATGATTCTTTCGTCCCTGAAATTATTAGCCACCTTATACGAAATACCCCGAATACTTATATTTCCCACAATTTGAATCTTTCAGAATAATTTCAAAATCATATGAACTTTAATTCTGTCATTAGTTCTAATCCGAAAATTTTCCTATCTGGTACGTTTATACATTTCAAAGAACGTGGTATCGGTAGCATCCTTGCCAATTAAAGTGTGTGGAAATTTTGTTTTAATAGGTTGCTTTTAACTGTAATATTATATAACTATATGCTTTCATACAGACGGTATGTAATATCCGTAATTTTTACTTTCAGATAAATTTAGTTTTTATTTCTCATTCGTTTAATAATTCAAATCACTTTACCGTTTTTATATTTCTATATTTTGTTCAGAAATTGATGTCTTCCATACATTATAAAATTTTTATCTGAACTTGAAGTTTTTATGTTCCTTGTAAAAATTTACTACAAACATAAATTATATTTGTTCTTAAATTATACGAGTATATAATAAAGAATATTCGAAAAGAAAAAGACCTCAGTACTTAAAAATAATATGAAAATAAGTGAACCGCTTAAAGTTTATATTTTTCTTCAATGTAAATTGAATGAGTCCAAGGAGAAAATGGTTAAAGAAGGAAAAAAAAACAAATGCCACATCCATAAGAATCCAAAATTATTACAATTTTTCGTTTTGTTTTGTTGTAACGTTGTACAAGTAAACATTTGACATAAAAATAACATTTTACCGTTTTTCTTTTTTTTTCTGGTTTTCATTTTTAATGACAAACACCATTTCCAGCTCATATCAGGTTTGTTTTTTTTTTCATTTTTATTGTTAAAATTTTCCATCGTCTTACCTTACCACCTTGTTTTACTCTTCTACGTTCTCTCATACACTCTCATACATCAAACTTTTGACATTTCATATAATGCAATATCGTTTTTTTTTTCGTTGACTGTTTGTTAAAATAAAATGATGTTCTAAGTGATGTTGACATTGATGTTTTATGCTCTTCATAAAAATAAAAAAAAATATTAATGATTATTTTTATTCTCTTTTCTTTTTTAATTCTCTTTTTTTTAACATGTATGTAATCCCGATGCATATAAAATAATATGACATATATAAAATAATATAATATATATAAAATATGTGAATGTTATATGGAACACAAACCATAATTAATAAAAAATTAATAAAATGAAACAGTGAAAGTATAAAACTTTCAATACGGTCACGTGAAATTGGTGAATCATGGCCATATCTGCAATATGCTCAATTTATACCGCAAGGAAATGCAATAATAATGATCTATAATTCTGATATATTTTATACACAAGGACCACGTTCAAAACATATTTATCGTGTTACAAAAGATGCAAAACCGGGAATCATATCGAATGGTGTTCCTGATTGGTTATATGAAGGTAATTTTAAAAATATTTGTATACTATATTTTGTAATGAAGTTATTAGGATATTGAAAAATGCATTATAAAAGTAATTATGTGTTAATATACTTATTTACATTTAATACTGATTTGAAAAATTTCATAAATGGACGAGGTACAATATTAGCACGGAAAATAATTAAATCGTATCAAACCAATGGTAATTCAAGAGTAGTGAATTTATTTGCAATATTTACTAAATATCATACAATATTTATTTTATTGCATACATTTGGGGGTAGAGCAGAAAATTAATGTTACTGAAAACAAAGAAATTAACTCTCACTAATGGATTTTCAATTAGTTTCTAATGAATTTTATTTGGTGCACGCTTAAATTAATATTATGTAGATCAATATAAGTGTATAAAAATGCATTAATAAACATCCTTACTTCCCTCATTAAATTTATATGTTACCATGCCACTTCCTAGAAATTGGTGCTTATAAAAGATTATATCCAATTTGAAATCGAAAAAATCCAATAAACTGCCATCATAAATGATAAAAAATTAAAAGTTATTCGTCATCATTTTATTTTGCCCATTTATTATGGTGTAATTTCCAGATGACACTCTAATAGCTAATTAAAGATTTTACTATCCAATAATTATCGTTTGCTCATTTCATGAATTTTTGATTACATTTGACTATTTTAAATGTATATGTATGTACAGTTGAAATTAAATTGCGGTTTGCTAATCATAAAAACATCATTTTATTGAGAAAATTAAATTGTAATGATATTAAACTAAGGATGAAGAAATAAAATAAATTTTCATATTTCTTTTAATTAAAATAGTCATTTTCATGTTTATTACTTAATTAGTTACGAATTAAGTATGCATCTAAGCACACACAGTGGCTGAGAGCAATAAATATAAATTTTATCTGGATACAATTATAGTAATCACGTTATTGAAGCAATTTGTTATTTTGGAATTCTGTAATTTATAAATTCGTAATTCAAGTAAGTTAGTAATGCCTAAAGAGTCTTTTGAACTTACTGAACTGATTACTGGTTTAATAAAAATTGCGAATACGGAAAAAAATATGGATCGATAATGTCACCCTCAAACCTTTAAGCTTTCAAATTAAGATTACAAATTTCAGAAAGCAGTCATTTACTAATAATTTTAGGTTAGTTCAACGATTTTCAGTTGACTTTAATTCACAAATTATAATAATCAAAAAAATTAATATGTAAAATTTACTAAAACTTCTGTGTTTAGTGTACTCGTTAGCTACACATATCTAACCTGCTAATTTCCATATAAATCAAATGAAATTTTAACATACCATCAGATGGAATATGTAAACTATAATATCAATTTTTATTTCATTATAAATAACTATATACAAAAAAAAAATTTGAATTAATAATACAAAAATGGATTCAAGAGAAAAAAATAAGAGCATCCTCTTGAGACTAAAGAGCAATAAAACGAAAAAGAAAAAAAAAATTGTTTTCTTCCAATGGGAAAATTTAATTATTTCAAAGATAACATAAGATAAGCAAAAGCAAAAAGGTCAATATATCCTTGCTAGAGGCAAAAATTTATTGAGTGTAAGTGGTAGTTGCAATTACAGTATAGTTATTGTTTTCGAAAATAAAATAAACAAATATTTAAGAGGGAAAACAGCAGTTTGTATTACTTTCGTAATAATATGAGTAAGATGGTAAATTAATTCTATAAGATCAAATAGATTTAATAACAAAATCTGAGAATATTTATACCTGTAATGTTAATTTACTTTTATTATAGAATAATTATTTTTACAGAATTTTGTAGCTTAGCATACAAGAAATGTTGAATTTTTATTATATTCAAGTGGAACTCGATATTTGAGTGGCAACAATTTATTTGATGTTTTGGCTTGAACAGAAGAAATTCTGGCCCTCCAAAACAAAAGTACAGTAATTCTCTGAACAAAAATTTCAAAAAATGAAAATGGACTTTGGTCCACAAAAGTTAATGATTTATTAAAAAAACTGTTAAGAAAACGAGGTTAATAAAAGTTCGTAAAAAAATAATTTTAGATAATGGTAAATTTCGACAGCCATTTGCAAGAAGCAAGTTAATGTTTGTGGTTTCGCTATAATAAATTGTCCAAAAATTGAAATTTTAGGAACCTTTAAGGATCATCAATTTTAAAAGTACATTATTTTTAAAGTAAAAAAATGAAATTTTCACGTTCCATTTAATATTTCATATTTTGTCATTTACATTGTTTTCATTTTGGGCAACCAAATTGTATTACAGTATAAAGCAAATTATTATTATTGGATATTTTCAGTTTTCTCAGTTTTATTGCAAAATTTTATTTTTTCCTCGAATTTTAATATCATTAATTTATAATATAGGTTTGCAGAATTTTTATAAGTTCCTAGAAAGCACGCTATTATTTTGCACTGAATATTATTTTTATAAATTTGTAAAATATAAATGTGGTGGTGATGATGATTTCAAGAATCAATTAACTTTGCATTCTTATTACCGCATAAATTACAATAATTTCTGATAGAGTTAAAGGAAAAAAAAATAATTAACCCTTTTCATTTAACCCTTCCTTCATTTAAAATCTAAAAATTTCATGTATGAACTTTATGAGCACCTCTTTTTATGCCATATAATATTAATCAGTCTTTTCGCCTCAATTAAATCAGCTTAAATAAAAAAACACGGCCAACTTATGTAAAGGATAACTTATGTGGACAACTTATGAGAACAACTTATGTGGTAACGCGCATTTACTCCGCTAAGAAAGAATTCGGAAATCATTTCTCAAAATTTTGCTGCTCAATAGTTTACCAACACATTTTTGAATTTACAGAAGCTATTATTAATGTAAAACTCCTTAATTTCCACATTGGTTTGTTTGTAAAATTTCAATATTCAATTACATTTCCTCAATATTTATTCTTCCTTATACACAATGCACCTTTTGATAAAATTTATCTTTATCTGTTCATCTTGTTTAAATTTTCTTTCTGAGTCAAACAACCATAAAATTTTCTTAATTATCACAAAAAAAAATTAGAGATAAAAATAAAAAAAATTTAATTATTTTCCAATCAATTTACTACACTGGTGATGAGTACAAATTTTTTCAAAATTTATAGAAACATCTCTGACGACATCTGCAATGAATTATGATTTCAATTTGTTATTGGAAACGTCATGTAATGCCTAATCAATTTTATTGACATTTCGAATTCATTCGCTTGTTTTTTTATTTTATTTTATTTATTGAAAAAATTTTCTTTTATTCACTGTTGGCAAAATAAATAAATCAGAAAAAAAAAGAATAATTTTATCACACTTTTCATTTAAAAAAAAAAATAACTTTCCAATTTCTAAAGAAAACAGATTTTTTGATTTTTAAAGAAAACAACGCCAAAATAAAAACTTTGTCTTTTCAATTTCGTTTTATTTGATTTAAAAATTTTCTAGGTCTATAATGGTACTACAATTGAACAAATTTAAAGTGTGAACTCCATTACCGACGTGCATGCAATCAAATCTTAAACGTTTCTATCGTAAAAACAAAGTAAACTGAGCAACTGAGCGGCTGGTATTTTCAAAAGCCGCTATTTAAATATTGTTTCTTGACTCCTTTTACTTAAAATTAAAATTCTCATCCTTTAAAATTGTATGATGATCTTAAAATTATTATTGAAGGAAATATGGCAAGGAACAGACTACAGTAAGAAAATATATGGATTTGAAGTTAGTTTTGAAAGAAATTGAAACAACGTTTCTTTAAGAGGCCACTTGGTTGCTCAATAAATCTGACGGGCTTCGCCGGCAATGAGCAAATTCAAGAGATGTTGAGTGATCCTATACAAATTAATAAAAGCAAGACATGCTGGTCTGCACAGCCACGGTTCTCAATATAATACAAAAATATTTTTTCAAAATATTATTAACTATTCTATACAATATCTTTTGAATCCGAATTTTTTAACAAATTAAATTATGAACAAAGAAGTTAGTGAACTAAGGGGTTACAGTATCTGACCATTGGTGTAGTGGTTATAGCACCGGTCCTTTATCCGAAGGGTCTCGGGTTCGAACCCCGGTCAGGGGTCACTATAAAAAAAAATTATATTCAATATTATAACTTAATATACAATACTAATAAATATTATACAAGTAATTTTCATATGTTCATAATATTCGATATTAAAAAAAAAAATAAGAAAAATAAACTATAAATATTAATAACCTTTAATAATATTTAATATAAAGAACTACGGCAGGCTAGTGACCTAGTAGTTAAAACTCTATGACGCTATGAAAAACTAGCATAATATCATGCACTAGCCCTGTGCTCCTTCTAGAAATGAATAGAGGAAAAAAACGGGTTATAGTAACTTACAGAGCTTGTTAAGTTTATTTCTAAAATAGCTTTTAATACTTACATTCAACAGTTCTGCTCAAAGACCTTATATTGTTGCTTATGTATTTTGATATTCCGTGCTATTTCTCTTTGAAATCGAATTAAATATTCAATATTGAATATGAAGTGTAATTATGTACATGAAAAAAAAATATTAAATTTTCTTTTATCCTCCACTGAATTAACTTTTGAATTTTCAACTATTCACTTGATTTTAATAATGCCAAATTATTTTATTAGAGGTTATGGTATTTTATTGATAAAAAATTATACCCTTAAGGTGACGTACTTAGAAATCGACTCTGTGTATACACATATTATGTATATGTACATGTAATCTATGCATTTATTTTATGTAATGACATATTATTTACGAAAGAAGTTTCTCTTTTGTAAATAACTTTCTTTTTATTGTTCTTATATTATTTTATTATCCTTTATATTTGTATTTGCAATATTAACAAATATGTTGTTTTCTTTTTATTCTTATTTTTTTTTTTTGTTCATTGATTGCCTTTATCGAACTTGCTCTTCTTGAACTTTTTTATTGTTAAACAATGATAATCAACAATAATAATAACAATAATAATGATAATAACATATAACATAACATATAACATAAAATTGAAATAAAAATGTAAATCGATATCGATCGAACGATGGTGGAACAAAACGAACAAAATCACAAATGAATGAACAAAATATCGAATAATAATATATAGAGGAAGTTTTATATTCGAATCATGCAATTTGGATGTCAGATGATGGCCATCAAATGTTATATGCTTCATTTAATGATAGTCTTGTTGAAGAGCAACATTTTGCATGGTATGGTACACAGCAACAATATAATAATGATGGTATAAAAAATAATTTCAATGGTAATATTGGTAATAGTAATTCTGGAGGAAGTGATTCACCATTATATCCAGAAATTAAATCTTTAAGGTAAGTGTAAAATATCATATTTTGTGCATTTTTCCATGTAATTTTAAATTTAATTGCATAATTTTTGGGGCATAATTTTGAAAAAAAAAAATTTAAATGAAAATTTTTATGTAAAATGAAACCATTTTAGTAAATTTGAACAGAAACTAAACGAACAAATATTTAAGTAAAGTTATCTTATAAAATTTACAGGTTATTTTATACTTTAATGATAAAAGGAGAAAGGAGGAAATCCATTAACAGAAAATTTTGAAAAGTTTTCATTTTCTGTTTTAATGTGGTGTAATTTTATATACACACACTAACAGAAACCATAGATTGAATGAATTTTCTGTAAATTGAGTATTGAATTTAATCAAGAACATATACAAAGCTATTAGTGGGAAAATTACATACATATAAAAAAATTTGTGTTTAATATTTTGCTGTGGGAAACTTTCCATTGTGATAAAATTTTATTAAACTAAAAAAGTTTTTCTTTTATTTTCATTACTTTTATTAGATCATAATCGATTGATTGAATCGAATAACGGTTTACCATAGGAAATGGTAATTTTTATATTACAAGTTATTTTAAATGAATTTTGATAGTGTTTAGGTAAAAATGTTTAATATAAGAATTTCATTAATTTAAAACGTAAGACAAAATTAAGGAAATTTAGTTTAAAAATTCATTAATTACAAAGATAGTCGACGTTAGGTTTCATACTATTTCAAGTCTGAAATATTTTTCAGATGCATTTCAGTACCTTGTTTAGTCTTACTAACTTGGCTCCTTTGAACTCACCGCTCTTATTCTGATTAATTATTTAAAAAACATAAAAAGCGATTGATGCTATAGCATCCCTAAATTTTAATCATCATTAAAATGATAAGCCTATGAAAGAGAGGACGTCTATTGCTGTAAATTATTTCTAACTTGTGCTGTTCAGAGTGCATTTCCTTAGATACAATTAAAAAATTACGTGGAGGACGTTAACAAACGATTCGTATTCTTTTCTCATAACGCATAAATTTGTTATTTTTTGCTATTTGGAGTTTGAGAATTTAGGAAACAATAGGAATTTAGTAGTTTAGTCCTGGAATTGGAACAAAACGTATAATTTCGAATAAATTCATTTTATATTGGTAACTAGGCTTCAATAGAAACCATAGGTATTAGGGAACATTTAAATTTATATGAGCTTTTTACAAAAACAGTTAACCTGTTATATCAGTATTCAATACCAATAAACAAAAACATATTCAAATTGAGCCTTTCGGAATTCCACACTCGAGGTTTTAATGTATCCGGGATTGTAGGCTCATAAATCCTTTTAATTTTTAGTTGAAATATGACCCGCAAACTCCTTGAATTCTTAGAAATGTTATTCTAAATTAAAACTTAATCACTACTCTAAATCTTTTGAATTTATTAAAATCTATTGTTTCAATTTATTAACAAAAATAAATTCTAAATGCACAGGAAAATTTCATATGTCACGTTAAATTCTCCTTTAAAAATTTCGATTTTTTGCTCTAAATATTTTAAATAACATTTTCAGAATAAAATTTTTTTTATTTCGTGATTTTTTGTTCTTCTTTTTTTTTTTGATGGCAATATAAAAGAAAAAGAACATTTTATTTAGAATTTTTAATAAAATCAGGAAAATATTAAATAACAACCGCATAACTTGTTTGCGTGTAATATAAACTAAACGTAGCACTATTTTACCACAATAATGGTTTCCCATATCTACTACATATCTCTGTACGTACACACTAAAAATAATCAATATTTTCAACAAAAGAAAAACAAATGGATTGTATTCTCTTGGAATTTATAATAAAAATACAAGAGAAGTATTTATATACACACTAATATGAACTGATTTAAAAGTTTTTTACATTTCATATCGGAAAAATTGGAAAATACGCGAAAAATTTTTAAACTAAAAACTAAATGACTAAGAGGGTTTTCAAAAAAATATAAACACTTGGTGGTTGAGTATAGAAAAAGCTATGCTAATCTATAAATTATGTTTAAAATGAACTAAATTAAAATTTACACATAACTTAGGAAAGAATTGAAGTTGATTAGTGGAATATAGACTCCGCTATGAAAAATTTGAATTTCTAAAACAGAACTATCGGACTCGTCAGTATGCGACTTTACATGTCAATCATTTTTATCACATCAGATTAATGCAAAATTATTTTAATTGAAGTTTCGAAGAACAAAAACTTGAAATGTTTTAGGAAAATAATCAGGAAATCTGCAACAGGAAGGTAAAACTGCCCAAATTGAAATTAGAAAAATTGTATTGTATTTTTTATAAAGCAAATTAAGGAATTTGAAGTAATTTTTTGAAATAATTTCTGAGTTTAAAACCAATATAGTCTTCAAATTAAAAAACAATTCTAATTTCGATAAATATTTTTTATCAACCTAGCTCTAGAGAATCTACCTAGCCCTTTATAATATTTTTTTTTCCCGATTTTCATCTGATTTACAAAGCAATAGTACATTTTTCCAAAAAAAAATAATTTGACCAACTATGAGGCTATTTTTATTTTAATATGTTTATCTTTAAAAGGTTCTAGTTGGACCAAAGGTTTACTGAATTATAGATTTCAAGCCTAACTATTCAATTACGAGTATGCAAAACAATATATCAATTTTCTGCTTAGATGGCTTAAGTCACTTTCCATATTGAGATTACTTGATTTATTAATCACCAAAACAATTTGTATTTTCTAAAATTTAGAATAAAATTCAGTGATTTAATTGAATACAAAAAACTATGACGCTTACATAGTATGCTATTTTTGTGTACCAGAGTATCTTAGCCAAACAAGAGGTTTGGAAAACAAAGAAATTATTGTTATCTACTAAAAACATGCTTTTCGAATTCACTAAGCAATTACGAGATACCGAACGCTCGAAAAAGTCCTCTTAGAAAATTTATCGCCCTAAACAGTTTTATTGAGGTATGAGCTCCTAAATCAGGTAATCAGGTGAATATTATTGAAATATTTTATTTATTTCTGTTCAGGATATTCAGAGTGCAAGTACAAATACTTTATTTTTTTTTAAATTACAATTTAATATACATATAAAATTCTTTTTACCGATATAACTTCCTTTTTCAAAGTGTTATCGTTAAATTCGTCAACTCCTCATTCTTCATTTTACAAAATACATTATTCTTATTTTTTTAATATCCTTCATTGCAATATGATGATAAGGTTTTAATGCGCTCGAATACATTGTTTGTATGTGTTATGAAAGGAACAAAGAAATCTTTTTCATCAAAAATACATTAGCGAACAACATTTTACTTTTTCACTTTTTTTTTTATAACGGAATTATTAAGGAATCGTCTTCATCGTCGTCAACAATATCTGCTTTGAATTTAAAATAAAACGTGTAAGTTTCTAATAATAGAAAAAAAAGGAAAAGGTTGAGATAGACACCATAAATTTAAAATGGGCATAATTTTTTTTTTCCAACTTTCAAACAAAATATTTTACATAATTTAAGGCGTTTCTAGTATTCTCACCGTAAAACCAAAGTTGATGATAGAAAAAAAATAAATAAATTACTTTTACGTTATGAATCACTACTGTATTAACTTGTAAGCGATACTCACCTGTTGCATTAACTGTAATATTAGTAAAAGAAAAAAAAATATTTACCACGTTATATTCGTTGTCAGTAAATAAATTATAATAATATTATGAAATAGAAATGAACTGAAGAAATAGAAGAAAATTTATTTTAAGTAGGACAATATAAAAGTTATGTAAAAGCGGTAAGCCTCATTTAAAAGAAAATGTTAGTCCTGTCTATCTATCATAACATTATTAAAATCGTTATTTTATATTTAAGTTAGACATAGAAATCTTCTTCGCTCGTTATAATTTCAATTATGACATAAAAATTTAAAATCTTGCAATATTTAGAGCGAATTTATTAAGGAAATTGGTTAAATTATAATTTTAGAGCAATCGGAACGCTGTTTAATGCAGATTCATTTGATCTGTAGTTCTTTTGAAAAAATTCTGCTTATCGAATTAGAAATAATTTTAGAAATTAAATTATATTAGAGTTTATCAAAGTTATTCTGCTATTATTCACAAATTATTATCAACAAATAAAAAATCCAACAGCTCGTAAAGGTATTGTGTTTGGTATATTTGCCGAAATATCAGCACGTATTAATAACGTATTTAAATTAACGTATAAAATATTCAACTAGCTCGAGAAATACTCAAAATCTGTGAAAACAAAGCTTTATAAATTAATATAGGCCGCAGTTAAAAGAAAATAAAAATCATCACATTAACCTCAGTTATTGATCTAAACGACAGTGTGCTAAAAAAAATCCCGATACTCCCAGTTTTTAATAATCAATCCAAGCTATTTTCGGTTACAATAATTAGCTTTTTAAAATTCTAGAAAATTCATGAGAAAAGGGCTAAAGGAAAAAAAGTTATCGAATGTAGTCGTGCATATCATGAAAAAAACTGAAAACAACTTTACATAAAGTTTTTACCAAGAATTTATTTGGAAATCGATCCTGCTAGATTCCAGGTTTCTAAAAGGCTTCTGAAAAGACATGAAATAAAAAATATCAAAGTGACACACCGTTATAGATCTTGTGCTATAGCTATAAGTCTTATAGATCTTGGAACTTTTTTTTCGAGGGCATTCTACTTTTGGTTTTGAAAAATTTATCAATAATAAGTTGTTCTCGTAAAATAAAAAATTGAAATTGAAGTTGACTTGATCGGAAAAAAATTGTGGATTTTTGCTTTCTTTTTGAATTACAACATTAATGATAATAGAAATGGTGCTATTTATAAAAAAAATTAAAAAATTTCGGATAATGTTTCTCATATTCTCTAATTTTGTCCAGTTCTAATAGATAAAGGTGAATGTGTTGACATTTCCGAAGTAAAATAAAGAAATCCTAACAAATAATTTATTCATGTGGTGAACACTTTCAATTCAATTT